CCAAGGATTATTTATACAATACTGATACTTCCACATATTGTGGCTTACCTATCAGAGGCTTGATAAAATGAATTATGATAGTCAAATGGCACATGAACACTGCAAACACAATAATTCCCACACACCTCCTCATACATCTCCTCATCACCTCAGCACCATACTCATCATAATAGCAGAACCAGAAGTGTTTCTTCGCGTAGTAAATCAAATCCAAGAACATTTTCCGCTTCATGGAGAACGCCACAAGCTTGTAGAATCCAAAACCAACTGTAACGACATTGAGACCGCAATAGGTAAATTTCTAGAAAGTATTCGGTCAATTTATCATCGAGAGTAGCTGAAGAATCAATTGATTTCTGTCCGACTCACATCGAAGTCGTCCGAACAGTTGTACATGTCATTCGAAGTAACGCAGAAAGCGAACAAAAGAGCAACAATGGAGTAATTTAAAATTAAATTCATGATCTTTCTTCCAAATTCAGTGTCTTCTGCCCAGAAACCACAGCACCTGATAAATGCAGCTGTCAATGTCACTGACCAAGAATTTCCCGGTGCCGACGCCATCTAGTCTGAGGTAACAGTGCGATAGGCAATTTTCTTGATACTTGATGTTAATGACACCTCCAGTAATATCTCTTCCACCCCCAGTTCCACGTAGTGACCCTCGATCGCGTGATCACAGAAAAATCTCAGCCCCCACTACTCATCATCGATTCCTGGTGTATTCTACCAGGTGGTATTGCATACGAGAGAATCAAATGCCCAGTCTTCTACAAAGTATTGAGGAAGGTAGACTGCATGGACGATGCTTGGACGAATATCTACCGAAGATTTAAGAAATATCTACCAAAGTCTACCTCAGGATTGCGTTTGAATAAATACAAAGTGCGAAACTCAACTCCTGATTCAATCCTTATCTACCGTTCGACGCTTTCTAACAGTGATATATATCTTGATATGATAACTAATTCTAAATGACTACGACAGATATTAGATGTCTCGTTATCAGTCATGTTGAACAGTCTGCCTCATCAGAGTTAAATAAGAAAATGATGTGTTACAGATCTGCAAGCAAAATTCTAGGGTTCACTGCCGTAGGAGATAATGAGGATTAGGATATTACCGAAGTGAAGGTTCGCAGTGTAACAGATGAGAATTCACCCACAGCCAGATTGCAAGGCTTCTGCGAGCGTCTGATGACAATCGTGAGATCGTTGGCCAATCTTTTCTTCAAGGCATCGGACTTCATGAAGAACCACTTGACGTCGTATGCTGCTTGAGACAGATCTGTGCTTGCTTCGGAGAGATCATTGCAGGTGAGCAGGAAGAAGAATAGCTGAACGACAGTGTTGCAGACGTAGACGAACGAGTGAATTTGGGAAAACAATTCACCAACGGTCTTCAATCAGAAAATGAAAACCAAATTGCATTGATTTTTTTATTAAAGTCGTGAAGACTCTCTTACCGTCATCAGCTGATACAATTGCAGACAAATCAAAATGCTCAGGACAACGACGATCCCTAGGATAGTGTTCTTGTACAGTTCTTTGATGGTGTTTATGAAATTTATGAGTTTCTGATGCTTGATTACACATTCTCTGAAACGCAGGTAAATACGAGTTTCATTCTCTGGCGCGGAGTCGTCCTCAGGGTGACCGCAGATGTTCCTGAGGTCCTCCTGGAGTATAAGAAACTGACCAACTAGTGTTATGTTTATTTGGCACAGGAAACCGTCGAAGCAGAAGTAGCAGACGCAGCAGTGATACGCTGATATCATCTAAATCAGCAAGAGCTAGTCTTTATCAT